GATGCTTGCCTGCCCTGGGCAGGGAGTGAGTTCAGATCAAGACCTTGGCGATAGGGTACTCTCTCCCCAGCCCCTGCCTGCCACCTGTGGTGAAGTAAGGACTTCACCTTCTTCACTTTCCCATTGAGTTATACAACCCAGAGCCTACGAGACTGTGGGTTTCTGTGGACTGTGTCATCCCTATTTACCTTTTTCTCTAGCACCCTGTGCTTCCTGATACACATAGTAGATGCTCAATAAATGTATGTGAAATGAATGAGTGAATGAATGAATATGAAATTTTCACAATAGTTTATCTGAAATTAGGCTCCCTTGGCCATCCAGACCTTCCAGGTCTCCCCACCTGCCTCCCACTGTTTATTTGTGAGTACTCAAAGACCAGGGGCTCTTGTCACCATTGTCCTCGAAACAATACAGTTAGAAAGGTAAGTCCATGGTTCAATGTCACAGGCAGGGTTTTTAGAGGCAAAGAAAGGTTAAGAGCAGAGGTTCTCAGATTTCAGCAGGCACTCCAGTCACCTGTGAAGAGTGTTAAAAATGCAGATTCCAGCCAGGAAGGGTGGCTCAAGCCTGTAACCCCAGCACTTTGGGAGGCCTAGGTGGGCAGATCACTTGAGGTCCAGAGTTCAAGACCAGCCTGGCCAACATAGTAAAACCCCATCTCTACTTAAAAAGTACAAAAATTAGCTGGGTGTGGTGGCAGGTGCCTGTAATCCCAGATAACAGGAGGCTGAGGCAGGAAAATCACTTGAACCCAGACGGTAGAGGTAGCAGTGAGCCCTGATTGCACCACTGCTCTCCAGCCTGGGCAACAGAGCAAGACTCCATCTCAAAATTAAAAAAGCAGATTCCCAGGGCCTCAGCCCAGACCTGCCGATGAGCCTCTGGAGGTAGGACCCCAGCATCTGCATTTTAACACACTCCCCAGAGACTTTGGTGCCTGGTAGCTTAGGTTCCACCCCTCATGACCTACTTCTGTCCTACACCCACCCTTTGTTAGCATAAAATAGCAAGGGGGTGTGTTCTTTCATCCTTTAGTGCAACGTACATTGACAACCGTTCACTTCTCATCATCAGTGCTGTGTTGAGTGTGGAGGCTACAGAAGAAGACGAGACACATCACTGACCCCCAGTGAGCTCCCCTACAGCCTAGAGGAGGGGCAGGCAAGCTAGGAGGCAGTGTATTTCCCAGTGGTTCTGTGAGGAGCTGCGGGGATCAGAGGAGAAATCTGGCTGCGTGGCCATCCTTGCTGGCACCTGAAGGCTGAGAAGGAAAGAGCCAGGAAAATCTCAGTGTGATTGGGACACAAAATTCCAGGCAGAGTGTGGAAGAGACACACTTAAGGGTGTCAAGTGCAGAATCTGCCTTTCATCCTGGGGGCCGACAGGAATGCAACACGTAAAATCCATACTTCACAGTTAAACTCGCATGAGATGGGCGTGGAGGCCCAGAGTGTGAATGAGGTGCCCTGGAAACATCATCTACTTTTTTTTTTTTTTGAGACAGAGTCTCATTCTGTCACCCAGGCTGGAGTACAGTGGTACAATCTCAGCTCACTGCAACCTTCGCTTCCCAGGTTCAAGTGATTCTCCTGCCTCAGCCTCCCAAGTAGCTGGGATTACAGGTACCCACTACCATGCCAAGCTAATTTTTTTGTACTTTTAGTAGAGATGGGTTTTCACCATTTTGGCAAGGCTAGTCTTGAACTCCTGACCTCAGGTGATCCACCCACCTCGGCCTCCCAAAATGCTGGGAGTGCAGGCATGAGCCACTGCACCCGGCCAACACCTGAGAACTTAGGTGACTGTCTCCCTTCTGAAAAGAGTCTGCAATATAATAGTCTTTACATTTATTCAGTTTGCCCTGATCCTGCCAACCTCCATGCTTGATTTAAAATCTTTCCATCTGGAATTATTAGTCCAGGGCCGTTTGTCAAAGAAAAGATGGATAGTGCAAGCCGACTGCTGCTAGCATTCAGAAAAACATGTTCTCTCTCTACCATTCAGTGAAAGTTCTTTAATCACGGTTGATTGGAGGTTATCAACCTTGAATTATTCGCTAATGGCATCTCTGCAAAGGAATGATTTATTCGGTGAGTAAGTTTTGCAAACAAACACAGATCCTCAATTGCTGGCTATTTCATCAGAAGCTGAAATATGCATTATTTCAACTATCTGTCTTTCCAGTGGAATCAAACTCCCAAGCAGAGGCTAATATTTAGCCTTGATCTCAGATTTCTCTGCCATTGAGATGTTAAGAATACAGAAAGCCAAGGCACAAAAGAATCCCCAGATGTTCTGTTACCAGGGATCCCCTGTGCTCACAGGCTCCCTTGCAGCTGGCACCCCACCTGGGGGCAGCCTCCCTGTAGAGGATCACCATCAGTAGAGGAGCCTGCAGTTCAGTAGCTGTACCTCCGTCACCTTTCACCAGAACCGTATCCTGAAACACCAGCCAGGGCCAGCACCACTCACTGCTGGAGGATCCCTGCTCTTCACCTCCCCTTGGTTCATTTGCTTTCAAGCACATGACATTAACACCCAGGGAAAGGAATGTGATCTATTTGTCAATTGTCAGACAGGGGACACATCTTCCCTTTCTTCCCTCAAAGGGGGACTGGTTCAGCCTCAAACCCTCTGAAGGGCAAGATTGATTGTGGGAAGCAGGAATTCTGGGGCTTCCTCAGCCCTCTCCCCAGCCTTGTAAGTCAGGGTGTACCAGGCTTCCTTCTGCTATCCCTCCGCTGGAACACTGCCCCCTCCAGTTCATGGTTCAAACTCACAGGCAGCTTGGGCATTTGTGGGGCTTCCCTGACCCCCAGACTATGTCAGACCCCTGAGGATACACTCTCCTGACTCCAAACCTTTTGTGTAGCACTGAATATAGTTGTGGTTGCATTTGTGTGTATGTAATTATTATATCAAATTCCATCTTGCCTCTTGGAAGGCTGATTGCTTTTGCTCCCTTCAGCATCCCTGGGGCCCAGGGATGGAGCTGTGGTTGGTTACTAAGAATGACCAGTGAGAGCAAGAAAGCCCAGGGAGGTGGCAGGTGGAGAGCACCTTTCCACTTTGTTACCCAGAGGAGGGGGCTGACTCAGGCATGCAGCTCATGGACTGGCCAGTTCTTGCTGCTCCCTTTGCCACCTGCAGCCAAGTCCCTGGGCAGCTCAGCATCCTCAGATCTTTGTTAACAGCACCAGAGGAGGTAAGCAGAGCCCCAGCAGCTGTGGGGAAAACAGCGAAGCATCTGCCATGAGGGCAAGAGGACCAGAGCCCACATGTGATCTGGGGAGGTAAACAAGACTTCCTGGGCAAGTACCATCTGAGCTGCCAGGAAGGCTGGTGGAGTTTCTGTAGGTAGGGGTTGTGACAGAACTCTAGGACAAGGGAATAGCATAAGCAAATGCCTGGAGGGATTTGTCTGGGTAAGATGGTGTCTGGGGTAAGGACCTGTAGCTGGAGTTTCTGACTTCAGGAAGAAACGGCAGGCTCATGGTTCAGAGGCCATTGAATGGAAATTCGGAGGCACTGAAGAGCCATTCATGGGTTTTGACCCAGGAAATGTGTAGCGAGGGATCTTCTGGGGTTCTTTGTACTCAACAGATCAGAGCACTGAAGCAGGGAGATTTGTCCAGAGGCCAGGGGAAAGGTGGCAGTGGGGACAAGAAGGAGCTTGGGGAGGTGCTGCATATCCAGCATGACTTCGCAGCTTAAAGGCTGAGCTTGGAGGAAACAGAAGTGACAGTGACCAGGATGAGAGACGGGCCATCAACACACCGCCCAGGAAACACACAGCCTGGTCAGCTTGCTGTGTTCCAGGGTCGTCTGGTTTGGTGCGGGAAGGTGTAGAAGTTTCTCGTCTCCTCCTTTTCTCACCAATCAGAAAGCGGTGACCTCTTAAAGCCATAAAGAAGGGTGAAATATTTGACTACATATTTTTTTTTAGTTTTTGCATGGAAAAAGATATCAAAAAACAAAGGACAAACTGAAGAACAAATGTAACATATATAACAAACAGAGCTAATATCCTCACAGACTGTATTAGTCTGTTTTCACACTGCCATAAAGAACATTTCTGAGACTATAGATGAAAGAGGTTTAATTGATTCACAGTGTGCATTGCTGGGGAGGCCTCAGGAAACTTACAATCGTGGTAAAAGAGAAAGAAAACATGTCCTTCTTCACAAGGCAGCAGGAGAAAGAAAAGAGAAAGTAAAGCCCCAAATATAAGCCCCAAATCTCATGAGAACTCACTCACTATCACAAGAACAGCATGGGGGAACCCCTCCCCATGATCCAATCACCTCCCTCCCTCAGCACATGGGATTACAATTCGAGATGAGATTGGGGTGAGGACACAGAGCCAAACATACCACATACAAAGCATTCTTACAAATAATCCATCAGAAAAAAATGGATGAGTGACAAAAGCAGGCAGTTCACAGGAAAATAAGTGGCTCATAAACATAATTTCATATGTCCCAGTTTCATTTATAATAAAAGATATGGAAGCTAAGTCTAAAATTACAAACCCTTTCTAAGTTATTTTACTTAGGCTGGTAAAGATGTAAAAACTGCTAATACACACAGTTGGTGGATATGTTGGAAAATAATTTGTCAATAGGTATTAACATTTTAAATGTAGGTTCCCATTCCTCTAGGAATTTCACTGCTAGGACTGTATCCTAACAATATGCTCATGCATGCATAGAAAAAGTGTAAATTAGAATATTCTTAGCAGGATTGTTTGTTGTAGCAAAAAGCCAGAAATTGCCTGAATATTCTCAGCAGAGAACTGCTTAAGTTATAACACAATCATACAAACAATGACATAAAATCTCTAAAAAGTGTGCTAACTATACATCTGTTGATAGGGCAGGATCACTTAGGTGGATTGTTAGGTGAATAAATTAAGGTGTGGTACAGTTTACACATTGGTATTAAAATTTCTAAATGATATGCATTCCTATTTAGAAGATACTATGAACCATAATCACCTCTTTGAAGGAGGACCAAAGATCTTGGATCTGGGATAGGAAGGAGTCCAACTTCGAGCTGTCCAAGCTTTGATCCTGTCCTTATTAGGCCTTCTGAGCTACTGGAGTCTCCTGTGCTGGAGTCTCCACCATCAGGTTAAAGCCCGCTGCTGTGGGTGGTGGTGTTCAGTCACTGCCCATCCACCTCTCAGACTGGCTGTCCAGAGAGTAAAACAGACAGGGTCTTGGCTCCAGTCTCTGACAGTATCAGGGAAACTTACTGAAAGTGGCCTTTCATCTGAGCCTGAACACTAAAGAAGAACTGGCAGAAACACCCATCTGCAGGCAGCTGGGGGCTGGCTGGCCTTTGCAGCTGGTGGGGGCCCTGGCACCCACACTGCTGTCAGCTCTCCCCAGGCTGCCTCTGGACAGCAGCCTCCCAAATGCAATCTCTAGGCCCCTGACCAAGGTATTTTTAGCCACCCTTCATGATAGTCACAGCTCTGAGGCTGTGAGCCAGGGAACATTCCTGAACTCTGGGTGTCTGCTCTGGGCCTGGCTTGTTCCCACGGCCAATGTAGAACTTTCCTTCCTACCCTTGTGACCTTTTGCTTCGTGACCCTTCCCCCAGTGCACAAAGCTCTGGCCCTGCAGTTCCTGACACGGCACACTGTCTTTTCATGGTGAGCAGCGGCAGAGGGACATTGCCTTCCGTTGGAAGAATGTGGCTTTCTGGAAAAATGGAGCTGCTGACACTCAGACTTGAAGAGCAGCCCTTCTAAGCTGGAATGCAGGAGACCCTCCCTGCCCTAGGGTTCCTGAAGCTTTAGCTCCTTGAGCTTCCCACATTTACTATATCGACAACTCCTGCTGTTCCCTCGCTGCCTTCTGCACTGAGTCACCCTCTTCACCTACATATTCACTTTAGTTGCACCCTAAAAGATAGGAGATGTGATATCATGGGTTTAACATGCTAGTTGTTTTTTTAGTGCATTATAGGACATCCTATTAGAATTTGTAGAAAGGAAAAAAGAGAAAAAGTAATTCTTTCATGCATACTAGACAAGCAGTGACCAGGCCAGTGATGAGAAACACAGTGAACTGGCATCCACAGTTTGCAGAGGAAAACTTGTTTATGACCAGGCCTTTGCACATTATTTATTCTTCATGATCTCACACACACACACACACACACACATCTTTTCTACCTGGATAATTGCCACCTCCTCCAGGAAGCCATTTCCAAGGCCCTCACCACCAACAGCAGGCCCATGCCCCTCCACTGTACTCCCTGCTCAGCCTGAGCTAGCCCTGCCCATTCTCTGCAGACTCTGGGAAAACATGCCTTTTTGTTAAGGGGTGATGGGGAATGTGCACTCTGGACTCGAACTCCACCTCGTTTATTTCCCGGCTGCATAACCTTAAACAAGTGGCTCATTTGCTTTCCCCAAGCCTTACTTTCCTCATCTGCAAAATGGGGATGACAACAGAAAGTGAGAATGAAATAATGTAGGCAAAATGGTAACACAGGCTTAGCATTCACTAAGCATTTGCTAAATATTTGCCAAATGTGTGTATGCGTGAAGGAGGGCACACAAAGGAGGTTAGACAATGACCCACAGCTTAAGATCCACCAAAAATCTTGTTACTAAGACAGGTTCCTGGGGTCCAGCCAGCCATCCCGAGTCAAGTCTGGAATCTGTATTTCGAACAAGCCCTGGATGACTGTTTGGGAGCTACTCAGCCAAAGCCCCGTTTCTGCCATAGAGGCAGCGCCCAGCCGCGGAATGACCACTGACAGCTTCTGGGAGCCTCCCCAGACACAAAGTCCCCAGGTCTGGTCACATTGCCCCACTGCACTCACGCCTTCTGCACCACTGCTTATAGTTATAGTGGGGCTCCCTCTGAAACTAGGAATTGGAAGATAGCACGTGGAGGACAGTCCACAGGAACGTGATATCTAAATGATGATTTACCTGTTCAGGATCCAAAAGTGCTGTTTGTTGATAGTATTGTTGATGATGATGATGGTGGTGGTGATGATGGTGATGGTGGTGCTGGTGATAGTAACAGCAATGATTTCTTAGAAAACATATAAGATGGGGCTTACTATTTTCCCCATTATACAGACAAAGCAATAAGGACTCAAAGTGTTGAAACACTTAATCAAGCTCACACAAGGTGAAGAATGGAGCCAGTGTCAAGCCCTTGCTTCCTTCCATGCCAAAGCCAATGCTCTCAATGCCTTTATCAAGCATCTTTCATGCACCGTAGTTTGACCCTCTATGAGACACCAGAATTGGAAATATGATTCTTATGTTAGGGACCACATTCAAATTCTTCATAATTCCCTCATGTAAATCAGTCTTGAGTTTTATTTCTGACTAACAACAGTGGAAATCCAGCTTACACTGGTGGAGAGGCCACGTGCATTCAGTATCTACGCGTTCCTTCTCAGCTCCTCGTCTCCCTCACAAATAGGTCATGGCCACAGGACTAGCTCTGGCCAGTGGAGTTTCGTAGTCACTGTGCTTTCTTCATCTTTCCTGCCACAGCCAACCTACAGGCCCAAACTGTGCACCTGCTGGATTTTGCCTGAATGAAAAGTAAACCTTTAATTGGGTTAAAAGTCTTGGTGGATTTACCTGTTTCAGCTGCCAGCATTAATTTCTCTGACTAACATACAGATTAATTTCAGGGTGAATTTCTCATGTAACTTTTCCCACACATTGCAAAGCTCATGCTTTATGCTACCATGTTAATAATGATAGTTATTGAATTATAATACTGTTACATCATGATTTTTCTTTACTATTCTTAGCCTGTTTGGCTTTTGAGAAACAACTTGGTATCATTTCATATTAAAAACTGACTTAAAGAAAGAAGCAGTCCTTCCACACAGTGTCACCCGTGTCGTGAAAGCTAATAGAAGCAGACAGCTGCCTGTTGGGGTCTCGATTTACAAAACACCTGACAGATGAAGTCTGTAGGCTTCCAAAGTGGGAGGATGAAAGCTTTAAAAAACAAAACCAGAAAGTGGGAAAGCAAAGACACTGGCCACCACCCAGCTCCATGATAAACTCCCGAGAGGCTGTGAGCCAGTGTGGGAAGGACGCTGCCCTCGTGCCTTTGGTCCTCCCACTCTCTCCCAGCCTCTCTATGAAGGACAATGCCAATCAGCTAAATACAACAAAATGACTTCAACTGTTGTGGAAATTATAAGCAGAATGCTGTGAAGATCATACTCCTTTCATCTAAAGAACCTGAGGACATTTTTACAAATAATTAATTCAATGTATTTAATTCTGAAAGATTAACTTGAGAGCCCTGAATTTGTAACTGAATCTTTTTTAAAAGGAGAAATCCAATACATGCAAAAATTTAGAGACTCAGACCTTCCTTGTGGTCATAAAGACCATTGTTGAAAGGGGGTGTTTCTGTTTCACAGTCTGAGTTGGACCTGGTGGCATCATCTTCTTGTAAATACCTTGCGGCAGTCCTCTCCCAGCCATGGCTCTTCCCTGGGGGCTGATGCAGCCCCTGCTGAGGCTGAAGCGGTTTCTCATTTTAGACCACACAAAGCAGGTGAGAGGCGCTCATGAGAAGGTTCTCTGGGGAAGCGGGACTTGCAGTTCTTCTTCACTGCTGCATTCCCACCAGCGCCATGACAGTTTACAAATGCCAGGGCAACATCAGAAAGTCACTCTATATGGTCTAAAAGGGGGAGGTATGAATAATCCACCCCTTGTTTAGCATATTATCAAGAAATAACCATAAAAATGGACAACCAGCTGCCCTCAGGGCTGCTCCGTCTACAAAATAGCTATTCTTTTTATTCCTTTACTTTCTTAATAAACTAGCCTTCAGTTGGAAAAAAAAAAAACTTTTGAAGGAAATGTTTTCACTCTGGGCTGGTTTCTAAAAACTTGAATCAGGCACGAAAGTGAATTCATTGGTGCAGGTAATTGTCCAAGGGCTGTCATGGTTTCTTAACTAGCTGCAGGACTTCAGCCATGTCATTAGAACCCACTTCCCCTCTCTCTCAGCTCACATCCCTGCTGCCGACATCTGGTGGCCCCCAACCACTCTGCATCTTCGCCTCATGCTCTCAAGGTGGCTGCAACTGCCCCTGCACTTACAGTCTCTCAGCTTCCAAGTCCATCCAAACAGTTGGAAAGACCCTGGACCTGACTCTCACTGGCTCAATTTGGGTAACATTCACATCTCTGAACTAATCATGGTGGCCAAGGGGATGGGCTACATCAACTAGCTAAAATCTTTCAGGATCTGACTCTGGAACTCACAGGAACAGAGGATGAAGAGATGGGGAACTGCCCAAAGGAAGCCCAGGCGTTCTCCTAGAAGAAGGTGAAGAGATGTTGGTAAAAACCCAGATACTTAAAATACCAACAGACCAAAGTTTATCTGTGGTGATTGACTTCAAATGGCCCTGGTGTCCCTGGAATGCTGGGGCTCTGGAGAGCTCAGGTGGAAAACCCCACAGTCAAAATGAATCCTCAATTTTACAAATAGACATTGAGGCCCAGACTGGGGAAGTCACCCAGCAAAAAGTTAGCAGAGCTCCACAAAACTTGGTTCTGGTGATTGTATACTGGGTGTATACATATGTCCAGACTCATCAGACTGTATATATTCTATATGTGTCATTTTTATATTAACATATCAGTTATACTGCAATAAAACCAGGCAGTTCTGGGGGGAAGGTGGCAGAAAGGATTCCCAGTTCAGTTTCTCTTCCCCTTCCTTGTTTTTCTACCTCAGTGAGGACTGAATCTCTTGCCTTTCAGCGACCATGTATTCCTTTACTTTTATGTACTATTTGTTTATTTATTTGTGGTGGTAAGGACACTTAACGTGAGACCTACCCTCTTAACAAATGTTTAAGTGCACACACATACACCACGGAATACCATGCAGCCATGAAAAAGAATGAGTTCATGTCCTTTGCAGGGATATGGATGAAGCTGGAAACCATCATCCTCAGCAAACTAACACAGAAACAGAAAATCAAACACCACATGTTCTCACCCATAAGTGGGAGATGAACAATGAGAACACATGGACACAGGGAGGGGAACATCACACACCAGGGCCTGTCATGGGGTGGGGGGCAAGGGGAAGGAGGGCATTAGGACAAATACTTAATGCACACAGGGCTTAAAACCTAGATGACAGGTTGGCAGGTGCAGCAAACTACCATGGCATACGTATTCCTATGTAACAGACCTGCATATTCTGCACATGCCCCAGGACTTATGTAAAGTTTAAAAAAAAAAAGTTTAAGTGCACATTACCGCACTTGACTACAAGTGCTACATTGTACAGCAGACCTCTAGGACTGATTCCCCTCATGTAACTGTAACTTTATACCCGCTGACCAGCAGGTCCCCATCTGCCCCTCCCCCATCTCCTGGAAAGCTCCATTCTAGGTCCTGCATCTTTGTCTGACTCTTTTTGATCCCTCACATCGATGAGCCCTTCCAGCGCTCATCCTTCTGTGTCCCACTTATTTCCCCTAACAGAATGTCTTCCAGGCCTACCCTTGTTGTTGCAAATAGCAGGATTTCCTCCTTTTGGATGGCTGAATAGCATCCCCTTGTGTGTCTACACCACGTCTCTTTACCTGTTCATTTGTCTGTGGACATTGAGGTTATCTCCATAGCGTGGCGACCGTGAATAATGCTGCAGTGAACTTGACAGTGCAGATACCTGCTTGAGATCTGGATTTCCGTTCTTTGGATATGTCCTCAGAAATGGGATTGCTGAATCCTATGGTAATTCCATTTTTAATTCTTTAAGGAACATCCGTATTATTTGTCATAGCAGTGGTACCATTTTACATTCCCGCCAGTAGTGTACAAGGGTTCAAATGTCTTCACAATCTCACTTGCCATGTCAGCCTAAGACACACTACCCACACAGGTATGACTGCAGCCCCCCATTTGGCCCTGCCTCCCAGCTGTTGCCCACTCTGTGCCCCTCTGAATGTCTCCTGCCTGTGACCTCCCTACTC